GTATAAGAGACAGGGGCTAGGACGGGCGCCCCACCGGGCTAGGACGGGCGCCCCACCGGGCTGGGACGGGCGCCCCACAGGGGGAAGCCAGTTTCCCCCAGCCCGGGCACCTGGCACAGCTCTGTGGGGCAGGGGGGGCAAGGCTGACCGCCCCCCATCCCAGCAGAGGGACCCTGGCCAACAAACAGATGTGAATTCAGGCAGATGCAACCAAGGAAAGGACTCCACTCGGGTCAGTGTTCAGACACCCAGGAGGTGCGTTTTATTGCAAAGAAAACAAAAACCACAACCCTGACGCTTCCAGGGCCAGACGCGAGTGTTTCTAAGTGTTCTCCAGCAGCAATCCCAAGCAGGGGCCAGGGCTTGCAGGCAGTTTAGGTCCAGCAGGAACAAGGGCGTTGAGAAGGGCTGGGAGCCTGCCTGTCAGCCGAGACGAGCCCACGAGGCTCTCGGGAGCCAGCACAGATGAAGGTGGTGGTTGCCTCTGACTGTTCGAGCTGCTCCAAACCCTCTGTGAAGGAGAGGTGGCTCCTGCGTGGCTGCGAAAGTGGACAGGAACAGACGAGGTGCTGAGGGCAAGGGCTGCCGTGGGATCCTGCTGCGATGCTCTAAGGTCATTCTGCAGCAATCCATAGGATAAATATACCTCCTTTCATGCTGCATCCTTCGGCCGGAGGGATCCTTAAGGTGGCATCTGGAACTGTATTCTCAACCTGCATTACATACTCCACGGTTACCAGGTCACTTCGCGTTGTTTCTTTACACCCTCCATGCCACCAGGTGTCTGCAGGGTGCAGAGCCCTCGCACATGTTGGACTGCGCATCACAGACCCTGTTCTAGGCATCTGGGAGGAATCTGCAGCTTGGCCATCCCAGATCTGGCCACCGTCCCACGGAGATGGAGAGCCACACTGATCTTGGCCATCACCAGTGTTGCCGGGGGCACAGAGCTCCTCACACCAGCCCCTGATGCTCTCTCGGAAGAGCCACCTCAATTTCAAGCCAGAGCCTCCGTTTTCTGCCTGTACTCCCCAGGATGAGACGGGGCGAGTGGAGGAGAAAGCAGGGAGATGAAGCTGAGGCTGATGGAACTCTAGACCGGTGACTGTGGGGAACGTCCCATCTCGCTGCTTTGCAGACAGGGATGTCCTCACACAAACCATCCCTGACATGCTTGGTGAGAGCCCCTCTGCTCACAGGCAAGTCCAGCAGCCCCTCGCCGATAAGACGAGTGACTGTCCTAGGCAAGTCACAGGAAACAAATACGTGGAGATAAGAAGGGGGAAAAGTACCTTTTTCCAATTATTTTTTGTCTCCAACTCCCAGCAGCCACCAGGTGTCAGCGCGATCAAACGTTTGGCAGATGGGACGACAGTGAAGTCCGAGTAGGTGGAAAACAGGATTCCAGGAATCAATCGCTTTGTCTCCTGCAGCTGCTCTGCTGCCTGGCACACCGCTCTGAGAAGTCCAGCTTTGACAGTTTTTGTTAAAAAGAAGTTCAACTACATTAAGGTGATAGAAAAGCTTCCTGTTACAAACGCTAAGACAAAGTTTCTCTTCCTCTAAATCCTCCCTGTGTAGAGCTGGAAACCCAAGCACTGAACAACAGAGTAAGTGGGCTACCAACAGCCTCTCTACAGTGCTCCCCAGCCCGCAGGTCCCCGGAGATGGCCCGTCTCTGCAAGGCTGAGGGGAGAGGGACAACAGTGCAATCGACTTAACAAGATCAGCCTAGTGCAAAAAACATGATACAGAGGAAAAACAAACGGTAAAGGTATAAAAAGTATCACCAGACTAAAGTGGAATGCTATTAACCAGTAGATTTCTGGAGCTAAACTGAGATCATACAGCCAGGTGCACCCTGTCAGAGACAGCAGATTGTTCTCAGCCTCGTGACAGCCACCCTCACACACTCTCCAGATGCAGAAGAGAGCTCTACAGCCTCCGGAAAACCTTCAAACCGTAAGAAGCCAGAAGAGAAAATCAGGAGAACTTGCTTAACTTTTAATAAGCCCGCACAGTCCCCTTGGCTTCTTTGAGGTCTGAAGACTTCACACCAAATGAGGAGGTGCTGAGCCCAGCCAGAAGCATTGCTTTACCAGCTCCTCGTTGTTTCTCTGAATTAGTAAAGGGGAGAGAAAACAGGGCAGCAAAGCAGCTCCTAGCAACGATGTGCATCAAGGAAGTGTTTTGTGGGTGAACTGATTCACATCTGATCGGTGCCATTATCTTTTTAATAGCCACTGGGCATTAAAAACATATTTAATGAGGATTATAGGAACATTTATACGGTGAAACTGCCTAAAGGCCGTGGCCATGCCAGGCCCTGTTATGCTAAGTGCTATACAAACTTAAATTTTAACTCCATGCTTTAATTTACTCACCATATCATAACAACAACTTGCATTTAATCCTGTGAGCTCCAAAGTGCCATCAACACAGCCACTGAACTTGTGCAGTCTGACTGCACAGACCCATCAAACTCAGCAAGGGGCGGTCAGGGACTGTCCCCCGTTAGCAACTGCTGGGGCAGGAGAGGGAACTCCTCCGAGCATCTCTGCAACCCTACCGACGAGATAGGAAAGGAGCTGATCACCTCCACCTCCTACAAAACACAGGGAAAGGTATGGAGGCAGCATAAAAAACACTGAAAATGGGAATCTGGATAGGAAACCAAAGGCTGTCGCCTTCCTTGAACACCTAACGGACGGATCTCCACGTGGTCCTACCTCGAGATGATCTGTGATTCAGTTTGTATGCAAAGCGCTATGCAAAATGAAACAACAGACTCGTACCTTGGCTTAGGCACTCACAGCAGGGATGAACATGCTAAAATATCTGTACATACAGGGGTAGATTTACAGGCTTGGCATCAGGCTGCATATCTGGGGTCTTTCTGTACAAAGGTTCCCGTAAAGACCAAACGCGAAGCCGCATCTCGCAGTAAGCAAGGATGCAGATCGCCCTAAGAGAGGAATGCTGCTGCCTCTGACAGAAGCGAGTCCCTCAGTCCCTTGACGACAGAGGAAACAAATGTTCTGGGATTTCAGGCTTGACAGTAGTTCTGAGTCTCAGCTTAGGCAGGGCTCAGAGAACAATTATGCATATTCACGTGCCTTTTATCACACATCTTCAGGGAGCTGGAGCCTCAAAGTTGCCTGAGGCATGCCTGAGAAACGTTCATCGGGGAGCTCTTAGATCTGATTCTCATCTCATCTGAACTGGCTTTTACACTTGCTTAAATGCAGTGATTTTAAAGATGTTGCCCCAATTTACACCTGTGGGACATTAAACATTTCCCCCCCTCAGGGCAGGATGCTGAAAAGGAAACAAAAGGACCAGAAAATGATCTGTTTCCAATTTTTTTACTTTTCTCCCTGTATAAAAAGTCTCACATAGTCTTTACCTCAGGAAGACCAACTGAAACCAAACTATCCTGGAAAAAAAAGAACAGGAGTGGAGGAGGCCTGCCAGTCTAAACCTGATACTTAGACAAGGGATACTTTGCTGCTGATTTCACAGGCTGTTGTGTGAAAGAGGCATGTCAATGTCCTTTTTTGAGCAACTCTCCAACCTAAAGCAAATTTTCAGCTAAGATGCTGCACCAATGGCACCGAATTCTCTGCAGTCAGCCAAGCAAAAGTGCTCAAACTTTGCAAACTCAGCTTGGAGCTGCGGAGCTGAAAAAGGGAGTGGGGCTGTTTGTGGTTCAAGGGGGGAAATGAGATGACAGTGGGATTTTTTTTTTTCCCCGAATGTAAACATCAGCCCATCTAATTAGCAGCTGAATGCTAGAGCACTAGAAAACCTCTTTTCACATGTGGAATGCAAACTCTGCCCAGGATATCGACTGAGTCTTGGCTCCCCTCCATCCAGAATGCACCTGCAGGGACTGAATGGGATCTCAAGGTCAGGATGTGGCTGCCCTAGCTCCAGCTGGACTCCCAAAGTGGATTTCCTTCCCCGAGCTGGACTCTTGGTGGCAGACTTAGCCCCACTGCCTTGTTTCTCAAGCCCAGCCACTCCCAGCCACTACCAGAGAGCTACAGTAAGTGCATTTAAAGGTGATAAAAGCATTGGTGCTACTGACAGGAACACACACACAGAGACCTACAAACCCACCCCTCCCGTTTCCCTCTGTTCAGTGATCCTCCCGGCTCCAAGCCCCAGTGAGGGCTCAGGACTTCTATTGGAAAAACTTGCCCAAAGACTTGAGCCATCCCAAGCCTTTAAGAAGTTCCTGAGAAGCCACCTGATCCCATGGTCCATCAGTCAAGATAGGAGAGAGACAAATGTATTTAAGGGGGTGGTTCCCTCCCTTCTTTTTCCTAAAGATGTGTGTCTTCCTCAAACACATCCACATCCTCGCTCGCCTGCTTATTGATCAGGACATCCCAGCTGTCGGGGCCGTTGATGGTGTTTCCACCGTTCACGCTTGGCTTCTTCTCCTGCATCTCTGACTGGCTGTCACTGGCCACATCCAAGGTGGGGTTGTCATGGCAGCCGTTCTCAACGAAGCGCAGCTCCTCGCCGTGCGACTGTGAAGGACGATAGGAACACAAACGGAGACAAAGGAGGACAGGTCTTAATGCTACTGAGAAGCACAACCAGACCAGGCCATAAGGGCCACTGAGGGCTCTGCAGGGGCAGTGCGAGAAGGTAAATTGACTCCTGGCCCAGCCCTCGCAGTGGAAATGAGCTGTCCTGAGCACAGCAAGAGACAGGTTTGCATCTCTCACACCCGAATGGGCGCCCTTGCTGCTCCAGCAGTGTATCCAGCTATGTCCAGTAAGTAGACAGGGGAAAACAACCTCCCTCTTAACTTTCCAATCCCCTCCTCCCCAAGGGCTAAGAGTCTGGCCACCTCCTCCACCCGTCCAGTGCTCACCATGTTCTTCATCTTGGGCAGGCGTCTCTGCCAGCAGTTGTATATGAGCCCCAGTACAATGATGATGGCGCAGATGGAGCCAATGATCACCAGTACCACAAAGAGTTTCCCATAATCGCTGCGTGTCTGGTTGGGGTGTGACTGGCAGCTTGTTGTGGTTGAGTAATTCTGGATGCCAATCTGGAAGGAAGGAAGGAGTATACTAAATCAATCTCCTGGCCTGCAGACAGGTGGGATCCTGTTCAGACTTCCCAGGGTCCAAATACAGGGCCACCGCCATGGGCAGAGGAACCAAAAGCCAGGGTTGGGGAGAAGGATGTATGCTGTCTTACACGACTAGAAGGCACACGGCTAAATTTAACACCATCTACAGTGAAAGGTGACACGTCAGCAAATGACAGTAGGCACAGTCTTACCCTGATCACCTGCACAAGGACCACACCTATGTGGAAGACAAAGAGGCTTCCATGGGAGAAACTGCCCAAGATTATGAGTACCCAAAACAAACCATGGACCACTGAGGGGTGCTGAGGCTTTGGCGACCGTGTGACAGAGAATGAAACCATAATAAATAGTTTTTCATTAAAGCTCTGGTCCTAAGAGAGTATAGCGGTCTTTCCGCTGCCTTGGAAGTGGACAGCTGCCCACTGATTCCAAAAGCTGCCCTAGAAACGGGCCCCTGTGCTTGTCAGCAAAGCCTAACACCAGTCCCAGTGACTCGGCGGATTTTAAGGGGGTTACATATCAATTCAACAGTATGACCGGTGTAAGAGAACACCCTTCCTCCTCCTCCCAGGCGCAAGGTCGGCACAACGAGCAGCGTTTCGTTATTGACAGAGCTGGAGGCAGGTGGTGAGGTGCTGCTCTGGTAGGATGCACGTTCACACAGGGTCACAGTTGCACAAAGAGGTCAAACCTTGCGCTGACGCAAATCCTTCTTTCTGGACAGATCTAGCTGCTGATACCTCAGTCACACAATTTCTAGAGGGTCGGCTTTTCACACTTTCTCTAGTGTAAGCCAATCAATACAGCACTGAGCACTTAATTTGCTTTGTCTAACTGCACCAGTTTGTTAGGTCAGGGAAAAACCTGAGAGCAGACAGCCAGCAAGGCCGTGGCCCAACTCTGCTGCTAAAAAGGCAGCAGAATTACTCCAGTAGTGTAAAAAAACCCAAGCTGAACTGGGCACTGAGTGCCTACATGTCTCGCAGGCCTAAGGGGCAAAGTCAGATCATGGGACTAATTTGTCCTCATCTCCATCCTCTTCCAAGCCGCCCGGGGTTAGAGGGGAACAGGCGAGGGCTAGGGGCAGCTGGAAGCGCAGCCCAGTCCTCTGCCTGCTCCTGCGTAGGCACCTGTCTAAAGGGGTGGGATGCAGACCCTGGGATTGCAGGAAGAAGGTGTGTGAATGTGTCCCATCTAGTACAGGCGCCTCTCCCCGCTCCTCCAGCACAACTTGAGCTACTGAGAGCAGCCAGTGTAGGTAAATCAGCTGTAGGGCGAGCAGGGCCCATCCTGGGGCTCCGCAGCACCCTCCTCACCACAGGCAACAGTGTCGAAGGGACGAGACCCAGTGTCCCAGCAAAACGAGCATGCCAAAAGCAGCTTCACAACCCCGCCAGAAAATCAGGGAGGGAATAACCCACAGTTACTCCCTTAATGGGAGCAGACGTCTGATGGCCTGGCAACTACCAGAGAGGAGAGAAGGGCGTTTGCCAAGTGCCTGACTCATCCGTTTGCCTGCTGTGGGCTCACTTGGCTGGACTCAGATATGCTCCCAGTTTTCAAGGTGCTTATTTTAATTGTATAGCTAGTCTTAACGAATGGATGGAGGCAGACAGGCTCTTACCTCCGCTAAGCTCCTCTTAACATCCCCCAGTGCCATGAGAACATCTTTTGTAGGGATGATGCCTGTAAAGGAGAGGGAGAGATGAGTGCTGCTCTCAGCTCAGGTTAGCTCAGGTAGATGTACTCATCACTGTGAAGCCCCCAACAGAATGGGAAAGTGCACTTTTGTTCAGTGGTACTTTATATGAGGAGGCTGAAAGAATGCAAGGACCACAACCAAATGCTCTTTAAAGCGGGGGAAATAATCCAGGCATGAACTGATGCTAGAGGCACCTAGGTGCCCTCCCCACAGCTACAGAAGCTCTCAGGGTCTGTGTGTGCTCTGGAGTGAGCAGCAACATCCACAAAGTCAGGGATGCTGCCCGATCCCGCCTCCCTGTCCAGCACAACTCGATCCTGAGCTGCAGCACTCCAGGGATCTCCACGCTCACCAGCCACAACCTTTCTCAGGAGTGTTTTGCTCGGCAGAGCAGCCTGGCGAGGTGCTGTGCTCCGCTCCCGGCAGGCGACAGCTCCAGTCAGAGGCACCGGCCCAGCTGAGGCGCCCCTTCCCGGGAGCCTCCCTCCCTCCCAGCTCCCAGGTGCTCTCCGAGGCAGAACAGGAGCAGTCAGGGAGGATTCAGAGGCTGAGGCCCATTTCTCCCTTCACTTGCACAGCAGTAAAAAGAGGAACTGAACAAAAGCTTGATTATTCAGAGCAGAAAATACTTTGGTTCCTGAGGTTTCTAAACTCAGGGGTATCTCCCAGCCCGGCTGTGCTTCTGGAGTTCAGAACTGGTTTCTTCTCCAGGAAGGGGGATGTCCCCTTTCACGATGTCATGAAGTTAGTTTAGAAGACCAAATGTTCACCAAAGCCTTTTCACTGCCACAGGCTCCAGCCCAAGGGCTTGGGAGACATGCAATGGCATCAGCACAGCAAATACCACTTAAATGTTAGCTCTATTTTCCTATCACTGTGGGACATTTTAGAATACTGTTGGCTTTTTTTTATTTCATATAGGCCATAATGTCAATATTATTATTCTTAGCTGTCTACTAAGCAGGCAGCAGCACATACTGATGTACAGGAAAAGCACCCCCCCTAGCAAAAGGGGGGTCCAGCCCAGCCCACCTTCCACTGTCAGCTTTTGTTTCTTTGGGGATGCAGGGGAGGCACCGTCAGGCCTGGCCCAGTTCAGACGACACTCATGTAGTGTTAAGAAGTGAACTAAGAGCAGGCTGCCATGTCCCACCGTTGCAGTGGCCTGCTCATGGAGGAGAGTACATAAGGACTGAGATTGAGCTGAGGGACACTGGAGTGAAGGCAGTCCGGGGAGGGAGCAAAGCAGGAGGCAAAGCGCAGAAGATGGAGCTTCATGCAAGCAGCGGGGGACAAGCCAGAAGGCAGATGTCAAGAAAAAGGGTCTTACGTCCTCAGTCCCCCTCCACCTCTCAACTGGTGGGACTGAAATGGACTGGAGAGTGAAAGCTCCTTCCTCCATTTGAGAGCCCCTTAAACACCCCCCCATCACGGGAAGGCTCCTTCTCTCAGCACTTACCCTGTTCCCCCGCCAGTGTCATGAGCAAGTGCTTGTCGTTCTCGTTGGGTTTGCTCAGAGAGATCAGCCAGCGGTCCTGCAGCCCATCTGCCTGCCTGGAGAAGGCATCCTCCACCAGTGCCAACAGCTGGGGACCCCTCTCCAGCCGAAACTCCTCCTGCCACAGGAAAGGGACCTTGGTGAGCACACGGTGGGGACAGGGCAGGTGTAGCACTGCAGGACTGGCAGGGGGACAGGGCCCAGAGCCCCGAGCCAGGCGTGCCCAAAAGCCAGCGATGCTAAACCTGGTGCAACGCTCTCCACACAGCCTCAGTACCCCAGCCTGGACCCACACACACATCTCCTGACACACCAACCCTCCTCCAGGGCTCCTGTGGCCGCCACGCGCCCCACACGGTGCCAGCCCAGCTCCCCCAGCACACAGTGACGTTATGGTGTAAGGCCAGGAGGAAGCAGCCAGGTTCTTCCCCGCAGCCAGCGCTGGGTCAGCGGGTGCCGCTCAGCCTGACGTGCTCCAGCCATCCCTCAGTGGGCTCCTTTGTTGCTTTCTCACTCCTGTGTTTCTATTTTTATCTCCGGTTGCCATGCCAACCTGAAGGCCACACAGATGATTAATAAAATGGAGAGCTCCTGTTGCCATGGCAATTCGAAGCGCTCAGGGCAGGCACAGGCCTGTGCCGAAAATGGCCTAATTGGAAAAGACACCGATGACTGAGGCCTGAATCACAAGGGGCTGCCAGTGCCTCCCCTCACCCGGTTACGGTCTGGGCACGGCGAGGCGGGAGCCGCAGCACCGGGACGCAGCACCATGCTGCCCAGCTGCAGCTCCAGCCCCGGCCCCCCGGCAGCCTGCGGCCGGTTTGGGGGATGCAGAGGAAGGGCGAGCAGCTGAGCCCAGGAGCAGGAGGAGGACAGAGGTGAGATGTTTCTAGCGATGGGGAAAACAGAGGCTGAAGAACACAGATAAATTCTCCGTGGTGGAGAAAAGAGAGCTGCGAAGGAGCTGAGGTGGAGGTCGGCTCCTGACGCGTAGCCAGTGTTGGGTCAGATCCTGCAGCCCTCACTTGGGCAAAATTCCCAGGTATATTGAGTGGGAGAGGTGCCCAGGAAGAGACTGAAGTGGCTGCCTTGCCCAGAGCCCATTAGGGAGATAAACGGGCTGCCGGCTTAACCCAGCAATACAGACATCAGCCCTGCAGCGGGTAAAAGCCTGGTGCTCTGGGGAACATTAAGGCTCAAGGTGAGACGCTCTGGGGGGGTTAAGCATCCTCCACGTCCCTCAGCTTTTCAGCAGGACTCAGTACCACACTCGGTCAGGGCATCAAAACATAGGAAATATGTGAGGAATCCCCATTCCACTAATTTAAACTACAGCACTTGCAAATGCAGGTTCTCCCTCACAACCCTGGAAAGCCAAACACCACGGGGTTTGGATACAGAAACCAGAAAGCAAAAGGGACAGGCAGAGGGTAGGCAAGCTGCCCAAAGTGAGCAAATTACCACGGGTAGGAAACAAACTGCGTCAGCATCAGTGGAAAGGAGAAGAGCTTGATTCCAGCTTCAGCCATGCAAAGTGGTAATGGGAGGCAGGGAACAAAGCGATGTTCATGTTAAATATGTATGTTGACAAACGTCCCTTTGGATAAAGGGGAAGACAGCACAAATCATTCCTTGGGAAATGTGTTTTGAAACATGAAATCAAGTAGAAAAACAGTTCAGTCCTGCCTATCCCAGGGCGCTGTCTTCTTTTAGCAAGGCAGAACTGAGGATTCCACAATAAAGACAGAGTCTGGTCAAGAGACATCTGCTTTTCAGTTCTCACCCTTCCAGTAGTTTAAACTACACAAGTGCAAGTGACCACAGGGAGGAAGCTACTACGTACACAGAATGAACGAGCATTTAAACTCCACAGAAGTGGGAGAAAGAGCAAGGGGACTAGGCCATGGAGGAAACAGGGCAGCCGAACTTTGGTTTTCAAGGACCGGTTTTTCGAGTTGCTTTTGCGAACTGCAGCAGAGATACTTAAAACCCTCCAAAGAGCAAACTGGTTTGCCTAAATCAGGAGGAACGAGATGGCTTTTCATCCACCCCTAAAGCAGTCAGCATGCTTTACTGTGTGTAGGAATCCCCCCGTTGTCCCTGCTCCCAAAAAGTTCACCTTAAAAAAATAAAAACAACACACACAAAACCCCCCCAAGAACTCGCCAGTAGTGGCAATAAGTCAGAGCCACAGATCCACTCTGCAGTAACAAAGCAGCTGGCTCTGCCCAGAGCAGGAGCCACAGAAAGCAAGAGTACAGACACACGAGGCCAGAACACAGCTCCCCGATGAAACATTTCAGTCTCAGGCTGTCAAGCTCCTAATCATTTCTTAGAATTATGAAAGGCACCTTGACCCCAGGCCTTTCACAACTGGTTTTAAAGTGCCTGATAAAAGGCCCAGCAGAGGTGAACGAGCCCTTTTACCAGGGAGCCACAAGGGGCTCCGGGCTCATGAATTAACTGCAGCTTTCTGGGGATGGATGGACAGGCATTGGATTAGCAGAGCATGGCTGGTTAACAGACCCAGATAACACACAAGATAACAGGGTGGGGAGAAGAGGCACTTAAGGAAGATTTAGTGACAGCTGCTTGACACTGAACCATTTACACTGCAAATGGGGAGTCCCTATTCCCCTGAGCCATCAGAGGAACGTTACTATATCCTGGAAGGAGGGGAAGGAAAAGGAAGAGAAGGAAGGTGTATCACGCTTCAATCCGGCCACATGCCCTACCAGTAAGAGGTGCAACGTTTAAAGCTCCCCTGTCTCATGACAATGCAGGTACTGACTGGCACAGACTAGCAGCCAGAAGTTAGTCAAAACCCAATATGGGCCTGACATGTGCTAGACTTTGAGCAAAATCTTCTCTCTCCACCCACTCTTTTCCCTTTTTGGAGAACAGGAATATTTCTGTCTTCCTCCCCTTCTCTCCACAGCCTCTACAGGGAGGTTGAGATTTAGTGCTTTTAAAATGTTTTGCAGTGAAAGCAGACAGCAAGAGCTGCGCCTGCCTCCTCTAAGCACTATTCCCCCCATGCCATCGGGTCTCTTTGGGCTGACTTACACAGTCGATGTTATCCGACATATTCAGGATGATGTAGTTCTTCCCCGCAAGGTTGCTCCAATCTTTGCAGATCACCTGGAGAGACAAGGAAAAGACAGCCGGGTTTGGGTAGCAAATGCAGCTCTCCCGCTGAAAGCACAGGGTACGCAGGGAGCAAGGGGCTGTGCCATACCCCCGAGAAGCACTTCTCCAAGGATGGAACTGCCCTCTAACTCTCTGTTACGGAGGAATCACCACGCACGGGGCAGGGACAAGGCTCCTGTGCCAGCTTGCCATAGCCAAGCTTTCCCTCCACCTGTCTAGACTCCAGGAGGACTCAGGTACCCAGGGGAAAGCTCTCCAGCCTGCAGCCTTACTCTGTACGTGATCAGCACTTAACACAAAACCTAACCAGGAGCCTCCGTGGTCCTTAAACCACTGAGGAAGGGCGGCACTTTGCAGCCAGGACTGGATACACAGAGGGACTACATCACTTGCTCAGGGTCCCGAGTACTGTAGGGCAGAAAGCAAAATTAAAAGCTTTCCCCAGCACTTTCTCACCAGTCAGCTCCTGCTACCTATCTCCCCTTAAGCAGGTGGCAGTTTGCTGGATTCAGGAACTGCAGTTCACCTCACACCTCCTCTCCCATGGGCTCTCCTAGACCAACATCCTCACAGCTCGCTGGACCCCGCTCCACCTGCTCTGCATCTGGTCCCTCTGCAGGCAGCAGCAGCAGCAAAAATAGCACTTGCTTCTCACTCCCTCCCCAGAAATCCTCGGGGCTGTTTTTGTCCTGACACTTCCAATAACGCACGCTGAGAAAACAAGAAGCTTTCGCTGCTGTGCGTGCCCCAGAGGGCAGTTGTTTATTAGAAGCAGGATTTTGTGCAGCAGTTTGTTGGGGAAGATGTGAGGGGGCAGAGCTTTCACCGAGGATCACGGACACCTTAAGAAGTGCCGTGAAAAACTCTCTCTAAAATTCAGTTTTGGCTGGGTGAAGAGAAGCAGCCACTTCCACCAGTCACACTGAGGGACATGGGTAAGGTTAAGGGGTTAAACACACACTCCCTCCGAGAGAGAAGTACCCAGATACCTGACTGCAAGCTCCCACCCCGCCCTGCTCCCCGCGCTACCTGTGCTGAGTCCCAGGGCAGCTCCGTTGGCAGCACAGCCACGCGGGCATCCCCAGCCTGTGGTGACAAGCTCCTCTCTGCTGCCACGGTCTCAGTGGCTGACTCGGTGTCATTCCAAACGGGATCCAGCGCAGGCTCATTAGCCCTGTCCCACGGAGACGCAGAAGCAGCGGGGTGCTGCTCACTCCCAGGAAGAGTCTGGGTGCCTGGGGAGCCGCCTCCAGGAGAGGGTGTCCCCACGGGCGTTCCCACTGTCTGCTCCATTTCGGTTAGCACCGTGGGCTCCAGCATCTCCCACCCTACTGTGGTCTCCGAGACCTCCTCTCTGGCCGAATGCTCTTCCCCACCAGCCTCCACTGTGGTCTCTGCAAGCTCTGCTCTCGTGGTAGTCACAGTCAGCTCCAAATCCGCTCCCCCAACAGCCCACGTGTCCCCAGCTGTCACCTCAAAGGGCTCTTCTGAAACACTGGGAGACCTTGCAGCAACAGTAGTAGAAAAAACAGAGGACACAGGCAGAAGACCTGGTCCCATGCTGCTCCCAAGGTCTAAGCCTGGAGGAGCAGAGTCCTCTTCTTGCCCTCCTATGGCTGCCTCGGTCACAATACCTGGCCTGGCGGAGGCTGTGGAAAACAGAAGAGTGGAGTCCTCTTGGCCCTCTGGTTCAGAAGAGGTAACCTCTGGCTCGGAGGTCTGGAGGCTCTCCACTCCTCCTCTGGAGTGGTCTATCGGGAGCAGCCCCTCCTCTTCCTCCAGCGTGCTGGAGAAAGGCGTGTGCAAGTCAGGCTCAACAAATTCTGCTGGCGGCTGGAGAGTGGCTGTTTCCCAGTTGTCTTTCACCTGTGTCCCATTCCCTTTCAGCAGGGCCTTCTGAGACGCAGCAGGAAAGCTGTAATCTAAAGAGAGATCCAAAAGACTTCGTGTCACATCCCAAGTAACCACGAACTCTGAGAGGCAGACAGCTGGCTGCATTGTGTGCATCCAGCCACGGATGGGGCCAAATGGCGGAGACCCTCTAAGAGCAGGCAGCCTGCCACTGAGAATAACAATTCCATCTGACGAGTGCAATGCAACCTCCTGCACTTCCCCAGCTCCCCTGTCCCACCCCAGTGAACCCACTTTCCCTAGGGATAATTCACGTGTTCATTCTCTCCACTCCGTCCCGCGCTTTCACAGACAGTAATAAATAAGTTTTGACTCCTGGCATCCTTAAGGTGAGGTTATGAGTGTTAGGAATTGGGCTGGGACCCAGAGGTTGGTTTCAGATGGGATTCAGACAGGTATGAGGTGGCAGCAGCAGTCAGTCACAAGCTAAATGGGAAATAACTCGGGAAGAGAAACAAACCCAGATCCTACTCCCTGGCACACCAAAACCTGATCAACCCGGACATCTTTGAGATGCAGAACTTCAGTTTGTGCAGCGCTTAACAGCAGAAGAGTCATCCCACAAACATCTGCATTAGGAGATTCTCATGTCATTAAGGAACAGTTTTGCTGCAGGGAAACAGAAGCCAGAAACAGGAGCCAAATCTAACTCCCCTCTCTCCAGCTTCAACCCCTGGTTGTTCTGTGGCTCTGACCACGAATGCACATGATGCTGCCAGACAGTTTAGATGATGAAGAAGATGCACCCCACAAATGTATGGTCGGAGTAGGCAGGGGCTTCTTCTGGAAGCCCAGCAAGGAGCTGGGATCCCGGGATAAGGAGAGTATCGCTAAGATCAGAAGAGTGACAGGCACAAATCCAGCAGGCATAAATCAACCTTCATCTGTCTTGAGAAACTGCCTGTACCCAAGGAACTGTTTCAGGAGTTTGCATCCCAATGAACTCCGTTTCTCCCCAAGAAGAGCACAGCACATACTCCGACTGAGAAAGATCAGGAAGATGACCCCTCTGCAGCTAGAAACGAGCACCTTGCCCCACCTATGGTGATTATTATTATTATTATTATTATTGACTTGCTTGAAATCCCCAAGGCCCCCACATCCTCTCCTGCCTGCCAAAGCTGATGCTCCACGGAGCAGAGTGGGCAGCAGCTCTCTGGATGCCTCACAGAGCAGACCTGCACAGGGAATCTCCTGCACCCCTGACTCCACTCCCTCGCCTGCTGATGCCAGAGCGGGTGCGAGCTCCCAGGCAGGGAGGGCCATGTCAGCAAACACATCCATTGCCTTGGATATTCCCTGGCAACCAGGACTGCCCATGCTGCTCCTGCAGCTCCTTCCCATCCCTCCCTTGCAGAGAGCCCCGTGGCTCCCTCCACCCCGAGCAGGAGGCGCAAAGATGCTCCTGTTCAGCTGGCAAGTGGCTTCCCTAACCCACAGCTTATTCCCTCCGTGCTGTCAGCAGCTCCCTCCAGACGCTGCCCAAAGGTGAGTGTGATCCAACTGACCTCTGGAGCTGTGATGTGGTGACTGTCTCCCAGTTCTGGCTGCAAACAGGCACTGAGATCTACTGGGCACCGCAGGCACGAGCAGCGTTCACTTTGTGGCTGTGTCTCCATGGAGAGCACCCATCCTGACTGAGATGCTGCCCAAGGACCTTGAGGATTAAAAGATTTTTGCTACCCAACAGCCTACCTGGTGGTGCTCCCTCAGAGGCCAAGGAGGCTGGTAAGCGCAATCAGTGGCAGCAAAGACAGACCGAAACCAGCTCCTCTCCACTGCCCGGCCCTGGTCTTCCCAAAGGCCCTTACCAACAGCTGCACAGCCCAGTGCCTGCTGACAGGGTCGCTGCCTTGCTAGATGGATGGTGGTTGACAGCAGGAACAGCCGCAGACCACAGCGTTGAGGACACCAGGTCAGGACCCTCTTCAGACAGATAGTGAAGTTTTAGTGCATCTCTCGGGGCTCTTCTGCTCCTCCTGCTGCAGGGATACTCAGGGTTTGCACCAAACCCACTAACCTCAGCAGGAACCCGACCTGCCCTGGTGTGCTGTGGGTGGAAAGTGAGGGTTTTGTCCCTTAAAACAAGGTCCTGTCAGATGAGATGTTATTTTCAAGGCTCAGTGATCCAATCTGCCATCTCCTTTGCCTAAAGACACTCTCAGCTATTCTTGACTCCTCTGCATCTCCTCTCTTCCCTGCCCCTCTTCCCACCTGGAGGAGAGCAAGAACTAGCAGATGGGCACAGCAGAAAAACAAACCAGGGAAAAGCAGCGTGAGGTTTGCCCCGTGGGAGCTAGAAATGCTGCTGGCCTGTCAGCTCTCCTTTGAAGTCACACATTCGACCTTTCCTTTGGGTGCTCTGTCACAGACCAGGCAGCTCCCGCGGGGAAGGCCCCGCATGCCGCAGCCGTGCTGCCTCTCTGCCGACAAGCTCTAAGGTCGGCGGAGCGACCGCTGCCTCCGCCATCTCTCCCAGGGGATGGAAGCGCGGGGACAACCCATCCCACTCTCTCCCAGCAGGCTTCTGTCTCACAAGGCAGCCAAAGACTGAAACGCGAGCTGCTTCTCTGGGCCAACAAATCAACAAGGCAGAGGCAGACACAGGAATCCTCACACTCACTCCTAATTGAGTTAACATCCTCACTCGCAGGATAGTCTCTCCACTACCCTGCATGCTAAGCTGGGAGCATCCTTCTCTTGTACAGTTCGTAAGACCCCATTGATTATAACCTCAACTCCCCTCCGACCTTGTGAGAGCTGTTATTCAGATTTGCTCGGAGAACAGTGAAAATTGAGGTGTTTTGGTCACAGTTGTGCTTGCTTGGGCTTCTTAAACCAAGGAGCTCTCCATGCAAGCCATTTCCCAGAGGGGCTCAATCACTTTGCAGGTTCAGAGGTTCAAGGATGGTGAGTCAATCCTTCCTTCCTTCCAGACTTTCCAGCTAGACACTTAGTTCCTGTCTGGAATCACCTCCTACTGTCTTACTACCACGGGTGTCTGTCCACTTCTCAAGACCAGGTCTCTAAGATACTCATATTCTCTTCTAGTTTACATCCCTCTTCTAAGATCTGAAGGAACTTTTGCACCCTGTCCATCTCCTTGGTATGATCCCAGCACCTTCTTCCAGACAAGCTGATTTTTGTCACTCGTCCATGCAATGCAGAGCCAAGAGCTTTCCCATTTAAAGAGTGTTCTCAGCATTTCCCTCAATTCCCCTCACCCCCAGCCCTAAGGGAACACAAAGGGCATCTCTCGTTTTTAGTGGCCCCTTCCAACACTGATCTAGCAGTTCCCCTTCAGCAAGTGGTCTTCTAGACCCTACAACCCACTGGCCCACCTGGTTGTCCTCTACCTTCAGCAGAGCCCCTACCCCTGGTTCCCACACCCTGAGCACGTGGAAGTGCACCCACAGACGAAGGTCTAGCTGTGCTGGTGCTGTCCACTCCCACCCCCACCAGGTTCTGTGGGGAGAAACAGCAACCATGGAACAGAGGCCAGACACACTCGGGTGACGTGTGCTCCTGCTGCAGAAGTGGGGCAGGGTCTTCTGTTAAAGGAGACAGGTAGTATGGAGCTGGCTGCAATGCCGAATTTGTCAGGGTCTTTTATCAGCTCATCAGATTTCAGTGAGGAAGAAGAGCACTGCCAAAGAGAAGGGAGGAGGCAGTAACCGCAAACACCATCGGTGCCTTCCCTGCCCGGGTCTGCTCTGTAAGTGTCCCACCAAGACCAGCAGTAGGCTGGAGCACAAGAGGAACTTGTGGCCACGCACCGAGGTGGCATGTGCCACGTAACCCTTCCAGTCATGAAAAAGAGCAGCCAAGCCACAGTGCAGGCAGCCCGGTCAGAGGGTGGTCAGAGGGGGCAGCTCAGAACCCAGCACCCCTGGCCAAACAGCCAGCAGGGACGCACCAGGCGAGCGTGGGGGGCAGCCACAGCTCCACATCAGGTACGCTCCCAGAGCTTCTGAGTCACACCATCCCCTGGGAATCTGGTTCACCTATATGAAATTCCACACCTCCACCTCACCCCTGTGCCACCACAGCCTTCGCTTGCCCCTTAATGCGTTTCACCAGGAGCAATATCACTCACATTGCAACATCCAGCTGTCTTTTCCACCCCCACCCCCCAGTTTTTCCCTTCCAAGCTCTCTTGCAAAGACCCTCAGGCAGTATTTTCTGAGGAAGCCATCTCGAACAGCCCTCCTGCCACCCCCAGTCCTGCCCTTTGCATCTCCCAGCAGACCTGTCTGGCTCACACAGATTCATTTCCTTTGCCCGAGGAGATGATTTGTCCTGGGAGAGGTGAACATGAGCTCCAAACCTCTGCGAGAGCCGCCACTGAGGCGATGTCCTGCTCGCTCTGAAATCAATACCAAAACTTCCCTGACACCAGATGGGCCTAGAGCCGGCACTGTGCCAAGGCACGGTCCCCCAGCCAGACATTTAATTCATCACATTTCTGCTTCCCCTTCATTCAGAAGAGCTGTCTCAGCTACTGCCCTACAAGGCTCCCTACCCTGTATTCGCCACTATTAGCTGTTTAAAGCAACCGTGACAGCTCCGAAAAAGGGTGACCCTCTTTGTTTTTAGTACACATAACCTGACCATAAGGTCTTTATTGGATTAAACTGGAAGATCATGTTAACCAGTGATTGAATTACTGGTAACTAGAAGGCACTGTAATAAAGAACATTCCCAGGCTTCCCCCACCACCACCCAGCCGGGCAGCACCGTCCATACTGAAGTCCCCGCCAGCTTTGGGGAGTGCAAGGTGCCCTCTGCTTAAAACGCAGCCAGGTCTGAGGCAGCACCTGCTCGCCGTTGGGCAGCGTAGAGCAGCGGGTCTCGCTACGAAAAGGCACACTCCATCGGATTGGAACCGCAGGGGGATTTCCGAGAGGCGAATGCAATGACTGGTGCTGGAACTGAGCCAGCTGGGGCTAACATCCTAACCTTCCAGAAGAGCGAGGAGAAGTTACTGTGAGCCCAGGACAGGTCCACACACACAGAAGATCATAGTCAAAAGAGAGGCCCAGGGTAGCAAAGCGGTTAGGTCTCATCATGCTTGGAATCCAGGTAGAGCCTGGGCACGGAGTGCTGCAGCCGCTCCCGAGCAGCCCCAGGCCTTTTTCCTGCTCAGGGTATGAACTGCAGTAAGGCCAGAATAAAGCACCCTCACCCGGACACGGAGCTGGCTGGGGATGGCTGCTCCAGAACACCACTACGCACAGAGAAACCCTCTTGCGACAGGTCAGCCCTTGGCAGCAACGTGCCGGGCGAGATGGCTTGTCCCGAGAGAGATCACCTCGTGTGAGCGGGCACTAAACCGGGGCGTAAACAAGAGGCGTCCTGGGAGCTGGGCTCAGGCAGGGGGCTGCTCAGCGCTAAGCTGCTTATGTTGACAGTCTTTACCAGGTGCTTCATTTCATTAATGCTTGGGTTGAACACGGCATTAAGAACCGCAGATTTGCTGTCAGTCTGGATGAAGATGCAGATATCTGTAAGGCTGAGAGTGACTGGGATCTCTCTGGCCAGAGGCAAGCAGTTCACCATGAACGGGAGTGAATCTCACGACCAGAGAAGAGTTGGGGATGGAAGATATTTTATCCCATTAGCTGGTCAGAAAATTTAGTTTTCTTCAAATACAGTCCTTCTAACTTGTCTGTCCTGCTAGCCCTCATCCTAACTCTCCTGGGAATCCCTTCTGCTAATTACTACAATTAAAAGATTACAATTCCACCCCCACTCCCCTCAAAGTGCCACATGCCATCCCAGTGAATCACCCACCTGTAAGACTAGATTTGATAGCTCCCAGCAGTCGTGCCTTGCTCTTACAAATGCACAACCTTGGAGCCAAAAGCCCAGGCCCTGGCTCTAAGGAAGCGAGCTCCATGCCAGCCCACCATCACACTGGAAGATGCGATGACGATGCACCCCGATGCTCAGGGACCCAGCTGCTGGGCAAGGCAGGAGAGGGACTGAGTGCCTTCATTCACCAGACATTCACAAGTCTTGCATCAGTTTCCAGGAGCCTGAACTTCCCAGCAAATAACGATGAGGCTACCTCAGCCTAGAGCCTTCACTGGGCAGGGAACACGCGGGGCGCTGCGTTCTGACTGAGCCAAAGGAGAACACCGAGAGGTGCAAACCAGGGAGCGCTCCAGGGTGGACACGCCAACACACAAGTCTTTCACTAAAAATCAGGGACTCAGAGGGACCCAAAGCCCTAACGACACCCATCTTCTAGCCCTAAAGCTAAAAGAGATGTTGCATCTGTTGCCCAGGAGTTCCAGTGTGACAGCAGGAAAACACAGGGGATTGGAAGCCTCCAGGCAAAACGAGATGGGGAAGGTGGGAAGAAGGGAAAGGAGGACAAGAAGGGCCAGATGCGAGTCGCCGCAGGGCCAGCGTATCTTCAGGGTTGATCTGTGGCTCAGGCCAATCTGATACCAAAGGTGAGACAAAGCAGCCAAGCCCAAACTACAACCGGAGAAGCTTCTGGGTTCCCTGGAAGCCCGAAGGCAGTGGGATGCAGAAGTAGCAGGTTCACAGCTCCACTGACTTGCCTCCTGGCTGAAGTATGAGTCACACGCGGTTTCCTTCC